CACTTGGTGTCATTACCATTAACAACTGTACCATATTTCCAGTAATATTTGTACCCCAATCCTGAGCCGCGTGTGCACAAAGTCACTCCAAGCAGTTCTCCTTTTACCACAAGTGAAGTGTTGGCTTTTTGACTCTCACACCTATAGTGTTGCACGGTGTAACTTCCCTCATACATTATACCTCTCCTCGCCACTTCTGCTTGTGTCTGAATATGTCTAATTTTGGTTCTTATTTGTCTCAATGTTAAAACATATTCAATGTCAACTTGTGTTGATGTGGCGTGTTTGGCCGGTCATCCGCCCCCTCGTTGTCCACTATGCCAACGTGAGATGGAGTCCTCATGAACTTCACTGTGACCTTTCAACTGTATCTCATTTATACTTTTCTTACACTCCCCATCCATGGACATGGAGGATGGACTTTGTTTAAGGAATCAATCAAGTGTTCCTCGGCTATCAGCAAATAGAAAAAGATCTTTGTCGTCTTGAAGAACTTCCCCCGTACTAGCCAGAATGTTCTGCAGTTCAACTTGTGTGGATGATGTATAATTACTAAGTCGAAGTATAATTTTCCTGTCCACAGTTACAAACTCAATATATTGGCTTATCGGAACACCACACCCTACCCCTGCCACCACACCCTACCCCTGCCACCACACCCTACCCCTGCCACCACACCCTGCCCCTGCCACCACACCCTACCCCTGCCTCCCCACCCTGCCCCTGCCTCCCCACCCTGCCCCTGCCTCCCCACCCTGCCCCTGCCTCCTCACCCACCCTGCCCCTGCCACCTCACCCTACCCCTGCCAACGCACCCTGCCACCACACCCTGCCACCTCACCCTACCCCTGCCACCACACCCTACCCCTGCCACCACACCAATGCCCCTGCCACCACACCAATGCCCCTGCCACCACACCAATGCCCCTGCCACCACACCAATGCCCCTGCCACCACACCAATGCCCCTGCCACCACACCAATGCCCCTGCCACCACACCAATGCCCCTGTATTATAGTTTGTGTGTTGGTGGTGTTGTCGTCGTTGATCCTTCTCTACGGACAACCCAACCCACAACTCCCAACCCACAACTCGGTAGAGTGCTTATACCTCACTAGGAGATCACCCCTGGCGCTTCTGGCTCTTGGAGAGGGGCTCAACGTCACACGTTTAGGGGATGCGGCTCCAACACTTAGCCTCGTTGTCACGTGCACACACCCACTCGAGCCGCTGTGACTCCCCACTCTCTCCTTATGAGATTATCTCAATCCCCTATGACTTACTAGTATTACCTTCTACCCTGTCCACAGCAGTGGTTCTTGGTTCTTTCTCTCTCTCTCTCTTCTTCTGTACTATTTCATGGGAAGCCTCACTAGGACAAGGGCAAACACCAGCAAATTGGAATACATTTACTGGACAAAGCACATACACACATATAATAATAATGAATCCTATACTCTATACTATTACAATCAGGTTGCACTCCAACATCATCGGAACTCTATCATCAGCTTATCAAGTGGTATCCTATCTCCTGGTTCACCACCTGATACTATCAACCTCCTCAAGTTGATCAAGTCTACATACACTGTTGCACCATCAGCAAGAGAATATATATATGTATCTATAAATGTGTACAAAGAAAATCAGCATTTCAATGCAATAACATATATCAGTATAAATGTTCATTGATACACAACAATGATCAATCGATCACTCTATCAGTCCTAGAACGCATACGTCTGTAGGTAATCCAGCCTACGTCTGTAACTCTAAACTTCAGTATAAAACACTCCTTGACGTGAGAATGCAAACAACCACTCACCTCTCACTGCGTCTTGCACACTAATGACAACCAAACACTGTCAACTCCCTACAATTAATCCACCAGAACTTCCCTTCCACCTCTGGATGTTCACTACCCTGATATCTTTAGGTTCTTCCGGGCTTCACTACCAGGATCCTCTGCAACTCCTTCAGGCTGCTATCATGAATTTTCCTTGACCAACTACGGTGCTTCACCCTTCTGCTAGGGTCCTCCACAGCTCTCTTGGCTGCTACACCATGAAGTTTCCTCGAGCAACTATGGTGCTTCACCACCTCTACAGAAGCACGTGACACTCCTCTTCACTGCTTCTCCTCACAGCTCGAGGTCCTCTGCTCCACTACCTTGGAGTCTCATCAACTACTCCTGTGCTGGCTTCGAAGTTCTCAGCAACTTCTTCCCCAAAGACAAACCTGCAACCCATCGACACTCCAATAAAAATGTTTCCCCTTTAACACACAAACAAAAATAATCACACAATAGGTTTGCCTCAAACCTCTATCTGTCCTCTACCTACAGTGAGAGTGGACTCCCCCGTTTTGGGCGGGTCCATACTCCACCTCGACCGGTGGGCCTCACTCACTCCGGGAGGGGCCTTCGCCGTCACCTGCCAGCGCTCAGAGGGGACGGACGTCGCTCCGTGTTCCTCCCTCTCCACTCTTATTTTAGGCTTTCTGCCTTATCAAAACATGTCTAACTTATAAATAAACATTGCTACTGTCGCTGGGCACACGACCAACTACAAGCAATCACTATGAACTGGCTTACATCGTGCTTACCACAGATTGTCTAGTCGAGGGCGCTCCTCCCTCTGACGAAGCTTGGTCAGGGCGCTGCCACGGCCCCTGGTAATGTCTCTGGGCGGTTTAATACTCTCCTCGTCGACCAGGACTTGAGACCACAACGCTCCCAGCTCGATTCCACAGCTGGTACGTCTGCACACTTCTCTTCTCTTCGAGATGTATCACTAGGGGTTCCCTTCTGACGGGAGCTCAACGGAGCGTGGCTTTCCCCCTGCGATGTCTGGCCTCAAGTGAGGTCAAAGCCCTCCAGAAACGAGCCTCACGCCTCCAGCAAAATGTCCACATCTCCTAGTCAGTCATTTATCTGTTTTCTTCTTCACTGCCCATAATCTCATTGTTTATCATATCCAACCAGCTATTTTACATATGGGTTATCACCTCAATATTTGCTAGACCTTCTAATCAGGTCAGGCATGATGAATAACTCTCAAGGAGGGAGACTCGTTTCTCCTGCAGGCTGAGATCATAACACCCTGCCACCACACCCTTGCCCCCAGATATCCTGCTTCCATACACACACGCTAGTTGTCCCGCGTCGTGCTCAGTCTTCTTCCTTGAGGGGACATTGATCCTGCGAATCACCGCAAAGGTAAACTCTTAAGTGTGTGTGCACTTGGAAGCGGGATGCCCAGTTGGTCTACATGTGTATGCTGTGACTCAGGAACACGCCGGGCAGAGTATTGAGGGACGGAACAATTGGGCTGTCACAAGGAACACGTGACTCCAGCCACAGGTTAGTGGCGGTCACCCCTCCACGCCCTGGCCTGCTCCCCAAGGGAGGCGATGGGTAAATAGGGAGCTTCAGTGGGGGGCACGGTGCTGTCCGGCCCCTCCACCCTTCACAACGTCCCTAAACTGATGTACTAAAGTGCCCAAACCTAACCGAGGCCCAACGAATAGAAAACGGAGAACATCACCTCAATTTTGCGATCCGCTGTAATTTTTAATATATCTTGACGTTGTGGAATTGTACGTCAAAATACGGTGTACTATGCGAGAGGACAGGTTGTAGGAAGTTGAGAGGGCATTAATAGGAGAGGTGCAGCAAAGGTTAGGGGAGGGAAGAGAAGGTAATAAAGCAGTAGGGAAGGAGATGGGTAAGAATGATTTAAGGGACTTAGCGAGAGAAGCTAATGTTAGCAGAGAACATTTCAAATGGTATTGTTGTTTTAACGGCTTTTGTTGTTGTTAATTGTTACCGTCAGCGGTGGTTGCTTAATGGCACAGTTACAGTTAATGAATGTTAGTGTTACAATTGTGATGGTTACAATGGCTGCAACTGTCATTGTTAATAACTGGTATAGTCATTGAAATTCAAATGTTGTTGGTATATGTTGAGTCATTGATAACAGCTGTCTAATTCCTGCCGTTATCGTTCGGCGGGTAATTGTTCTACTGTTGTTGTTGATCGTTAGCCTCTGTTTCTCACATAGGCTTATTGCTAAAGATGCTAGTGTTTGTATAATTAGCGCTAGGCCTACTCAGGAGTTTAGCGGAGTGCCGGTGATGCATGATTTTTGAATATTGGAATGTAACGGTCACTGCTTAAGTAGGTCTAGTATTTGTAGGCCTAATATTTGTATATCTCACGTTGGAATTGTGTGTTGTATTTGTGTATTGTATTTGTGTATACTGTCAAGCTGCCGCCTCCTGTGTCAACATTGTATATATATAACACACACACACACACACCACACACACACACCCACACACCCACTCACACTCACACTCACACTCACACACACACACACACACACTCTCTCTCTCTCTCTCTCTCTCTCTCTCTCTCTCTCTCTCTCTCTCTCTCTCTCTCTCTCTCTCTCTCTCTCTCTCTCTCTCTCTCTCCAGGTTTTTCATTTACCTTTATTCGTTTTTCATCTTTTCCCTTCTTCTTGGTTTGTCAGTATTTCTATTATCTTAGTATTTTTATTGCTTTACCTGTAGTTGTGTGTGTTCACTATTGCCATCTTTATCTGTTTGTGTAATGTTGTTGGTCTTTAGTTGTCTAGTTATTACCCCTTCTCGTCTTCACCCCCTTCTCTGCCTCGTTATTGTATCGTTATGGCTCATTTATCACCTCATGTCTGGTGATTAATGTGTGTGTTTTATTCTCCGCCTTTCTCTTAAACCTGTCACTCCAAGAATTAGGCAATTTTCTTGCTTCTGACTCATTGTCTTCGTCTCTTTTAATATTTACTCCATTTTTTAATGTCTTATAATGTTTATTTTGTCTCGCTTCTTCCTTATAATTTGTGTGGAATGTGTCTAGCTCCTTGGCGCTGCCTCTCCTAGTTATATATCTCTCTAATCTGTTTTCTTCCTGTTTCTAAGTTATTGTCTGTGCCTCTTATCTGTGACTGTTGTCTCCCCAGGCGTGCACTCCCTCCCCATCCACCTTCTCCCCAGCCCCGCCTCTCCCCAATTCTTCCTACCAGGTATGTCTACTTTTCTCTTTTTTTAAATGTTTTTTTTTCTCACATTTTATATTTTCAGTCTTCATCTCGTGCACAAGTATCTAATTTCTCATATCTCGCTTATATCTTCATTTGTGAATGTTCGCCTCATTCCTTGTTTGTAAATGTTGTTTATCATTCCTCTGTGTCAACATATTTCCCGCTCACGCAATGTTCTGTCTCCTGCAGCAGGAGTTTAGACAGGTACACTGGACAGTGGGGAGACAGAGGTCCAGTGTGGCGCCTACACTGCCCCACTACAGTGTAGACAGGGAGATGGAGCCTCGACAACCGTCTGTGACAGGTCAAGGGTTGGCACAAGTGCCAGACAGGTCAAGGGTCAGTCACACCTTTATATGATCGTGGCAGTTGGTGGTGCCCAGGGTGGGGGGGGGAGGAGAGTCATCTGTGGGGGGGGGGGCAGGAGAGTCATCTGTGCCCAGGGTGGGGGGGGCAGGAGAGTCATCTGTGCCCAGGGGGGGGGGGCAGGAGAGTCATCTGTGCCCAGGGTGGGGGGGGGCAGGAGTCACCTCTGCCCAGGGTGTGTGGGGGGGCAGGAGAGTCATGCTGTGCCCAGGGTGGGGGGGGCAGAAGAGTCACACTGTGCCCAGGGTGGGGGGGCAGGGAGTCATCTGTGCCCAGGGTGGGGGGGGGGCAGGAGAGTCATCTGTGCCCAGGGTGGGGGGCAGGAGAGTCATCTGTGCCCAGGGTGGGGGGGCAGGAGAGTCATCTGTGCCCAGGGGGGGGGGGGGCAGGAGAGTCATCTGTGCCCAGGGTGGGGGGGCAGAGAGTCATCTGTGCCCAGGGTGGGGGGGGCAGGAGAGTCATCTGTGCCCAGGGTGGGGGGCAGGAGAGTCATCTGTGCCCAGGGTGGGGGGGCAGGAGAGTCATCTGTGCCCAGGGTGGGGGGGCAGGAGAGTCATCTGTGCCCAGGGTGGGGGGGCAGGAGAGTCATCTGTGCCCAGGGTGGGGGGGGCAGGAGAGTCATCTGTGCCCAGGGTGGGGGGGCAGGAGAGTCACCTGTGCCCAGGGTGGGGGGGCAGGAGAGTCACCTGTGCCCAGGGTGGGGGGGCAGGAGAGTCACCTGTGCCCAGGGTTGGGGGGCAGGAGAGTCATCTGTGCCCAGGGTGGGGGGGGCAGGAGAGTCATCTGTGCCCAGGGTGGGGGGGCAGGAGAGTCATCTGTGCCCAGGGGTGGGGGGGCAGGGAGTCATCTGTGCCCAGGGGGGGGGGCAGGAGAGTCATCTGTGCCCAGGGTGGGGGGGGGGGCAGGAGAGTCATCTGTGCCCAGGGTGGGGGGGGGCAGGAGAGTCATCTGTGCCCAGGGTGGGGGGGGGCAGGAGAGTCATCTGTGCCCAGGGTGGGGGGGGGGCAGGAGAGTCATCTGTGCCCAGGGTGGGGGGGGGCAGGAGAGTCATCTGTGCCCAGGGTGGGGGGGCAGGAGAGTCACCTGTGCCCAGGTTGGGAGGGGGGGGCAGGAGAGTCATCTGTGCCCAGGGGTGGGGGGGCAGGAGAGTCATCTGTGCCAAAGGTTGGGGCAGGAGAGTCACACTGTGCCAGGGGGTGGGGGGGCAGGAGAGTCATCTGTGCCAGGGTGGGGGGGGCAGGGAGAGTCACCTGTGCCAGGGGGGGGGGGCAGGAGAGTCACCTGTGCCCAGGGTGGGGGGGCAGGAGAGTCATCTGTGCCCAGGTGTGGGGGGCAGGAGAGTCATCTGTGCCCAGGTTGGGGGGAGGGGGCAGGAGAGTCATCTGTGCCCAGGGGGGGGCAGGAGAGTCATCTGTGCCCAGGTCACCTGTGCCAGGGGGGGGGCAGGAGAGTCATCTGTGCCCAGGGGGGGGGGGCAGGAGAGTCATCTGTGCCCAGGGTGCCCAGGGGGGGGGCAGGAGAGTCATCTGTGCCCAGGGTGGGGGGGCAGGAGAGTATCTGTGCCCAGGGTGGGGGGCAGGAGAGTAATAGTGCCCAGGGTGGGGGGGCAGGAGAGTCATCTGTGCCCAGGGTGGCCAGGGTGGGGGGTTAGTAGAGTCATCTGTGCCAGGGTGGAAGGGCAGGAGAGTCACTGTGCCCAGGGTGGGGGGCAGGAGAGTCCACCTGTGCCAGGGTGGGGGGCAGGAGAGTCACCTGTGCCCAGGGTGGGGGGCAGAGGAGAGTCACCGGTGCCCAGGGGGGTGGGGGGGGGAGGAGAGTCACCTGTGCCCAGGGTGGGGGCACAGGAGAGTCACTTGTGCCCAGGGTGGGGGGCAGGAGAGTCGCCTGTGCCCAGGGTGGGGGGGCAGGGGGGGAGAGTCGCCTGTGCCCAGGGGGTGGGGGGCATACATGCCCGTTGTGTGTGTATGTATGTAATGTATGTATGTATGTTATATATATATATATATATATATATATATATATATATATATATATATATATATGTAATATATATATATATATATATATAATATGTCGTACCTAGTAGCCAGAACGCACTTCTCAGCCTACTATGCAAGGCCCGATTTGCCTAATAAGCCAAGTTTTCCAGAATTAATATATTTTCTCTAATTTTTTCTTATGAAATGATAAAGCTACCCATTTCTCTATATATGATGTCAATTTTTTTATTGAGTGAGTTAAAATTAACGTAGATATATGACTGAACCCAACCAACCCTACCTAACCTAACCTAACCTATCTTTAGAGGTTAGGTTAGGTTAGGTAGCCAAAAGAAAAGTTAGGTTAGGTAGGTTAGGTAGTCGAAAAACAATTATTTCATGAAAACTTGGCTTATTAGGCAAATCGGGTCTTGCATAGTAGGCTGAGAAGTGCGTTCTGGCTACTAGGTACGACATATATTATATATATATATATATATATATATATATATATATATATATATATTGCGAACAAGCCTGAATGGTCCCAGGACTATATGCGAATGAAAACTCACACCCCAGAAGTGACTCGAACCCATACTCCCAGAAGCAACGCAACTGGTAACTACAGGGCGCCTTAATCCGCTTGACCATCACGGCCGTCAAAAGGAAGTGATAGCCGAGGCTATTTGAGCCACTTCCCCGACGGCAACTCGGATGGTAATCTTGGGCATAGCATTTCACCAAATCACCTCATTCTTTGGGGCACACGTGAGGAACACAAATGCGAACAAGCCTGATGGTCCCCAGGACTATATGCGAATGAAAAACTCACACCCCAGAAGTGACTCGAACCCATACTCCCAGAAGCAACGCAACTGGTAACTACAGGGCGCCTTAATCCGCTTGACCATCACGGCCGTCAAAAGGAAGTGATAGCCGAGGCTATTTGAGCCACTTCCCCGACGGCAACTCGGATGGTAATCTTGGGCATAGCATTTCACCAAATCACCTCATTCTTTGGGGCACACGTGAGGAACACAAGTGGCTCAAATAGCCTCGGCTGGTCCACAGGACTATATGCGAATGAAAAACACACCCCAGAATGACGTCGAACCCATACTCCCAGAAGCAACGCAACTGGTAACTACAGGGCGTGATGTCAAGCGGATTAAGGCGCCCTGTAGTTACCAGTTGCGTTGCTTCTGGGAGTATGGGTTCGAGTCACTTCTGGGTGTGAGTTTTCATTCGCATATAGTCCTGGGGACCATTCAGGCTTGTTCGCATTTGTGTTCCTCATATATATATATATATATACACACACACACACACACACACACACACACACACACACACACACACACACACACACCAGTTGATTGACGGTTGAGAGGCGGGACCAAAGAGCCAGAGCTCAACCCCCCGCAAGCACAACTAGGTGAGTAAACACACACTCGAACACTCAAACTTTTACTGTGGATTTTTACATCACTCTCATCCTCGCTTACCCCTTCTCCCCCCCCCCTCCCCACACCCCCCTTCTCTCCAACGTCACCCTCACATGCCCCTTCACAACCCTCCACCAATCACCTGCATGTTCCCCTCACAATCCCTCATCAGTAACACTCGTGTTCCCTCACATATTTCGTCCCCCCCCACCTTCCCCTCACCCCCTCCCTCACCCCCTCCCTCACCCCCTCCCTCACCCCCCCTCACTCACCCCCTCCCTCACCTCCTCCCTCACCTCCTCCCTCACCTCCTCCCTCACCTCCTCCCTCACCTCCTCCCTCACCTCCTCCCTCACCTCCTCCCTCACCTCCTCCCTCACCTCCTCCCTCACCCCCTCCCTCACCCCTCGTCAACACCCACATGTAGACTGTTCATGCATATTCATCCGTCAGCTGACAATGCGGGAGAGAAAGTGTAGAGTTCTGGCCTACACTGGGTGTTATGTTGGCCTACACTGGGTGTTATGTTGGCCTACACTTGGGTGTTATGTTGGCCTACACTGGGTGTTATGTTGGCCTACACTGGGTGTTATGTTGGCCTACACTTGGGTGTTATGTTGGCCTACACTTGGGTGTTATGTTGGCCTACACTGGGTGTTATGTTGGCCTACACTGGTGTGTTATGTTGGCCTACACTGGTGTGTTATGTTGGCTACACTGGGGGTTATGTTGGCCTACACTGGGGGTTATGTTGGCCTACACTGGTGTGTTATGTTGGCCTACACTGGGGGTTATGTTGGCCTACACTGGGGGTTATGTTGGCCTACACTGGTGTGTTATGTTGGCCTACACTGGTGTGTTATGTTGGCCTACACTGGTGTGTTATGTTGGCCTACACTGGGGGTTATGTTGGCCTACACTGGGGGTTATGTTGGCCAACACTGGTGTGTTATGTTGGCCAACACTGGTGTGTTATGTTGGCCTACACTGGGGGTTATGTTGGCCTACACTGGGGGTTATGTTGGCCTACACTGGGGGTTATGTTGGCCTACACTGGTGTGTTATGTTGACCTACACTGGGGGTTATCTTGGCCTACACTGGGGGTTATGTTGGCCTACACTGGTGTGTTATGTTGGCCTACACTGGTGTGTTATGTTGGCCTACACTGGGTGTTATGTTGGCCTACAC